GGGTTTAGGGTTTAGGGTTTAGGGTTTAGGGTTTAGGGTTTAGGGTTTAGGACGGTTTACAGTAGAGCTTAGGCTTAGGCGTTCTAACCCGAAGAAGCCCCAGAAAAGACAAACCCCCAACCCCAAAAATCCTGAGCCCTGAGTCCCTAAACCCTAAGCCCTAAGCCCTAAACCCTAAACCCTAAACCCTAAACCCTAGCCCCCAAACCGTTCGCTTTCCAGGCAGGGGCAGACAAAGACCGCGCCAACGCCCATGGCAAGTCGCCAGCGCAGGCCGCAGCGGAGAAGAAGCACCGCACCTTGGTCGGTTCAGGGTGTAGGGTTGGAGACTTAAGGCCTAGGGTTTAGGAGGGTTTTGAGTTTAGGGCTTCTTAGCCTTTAACCCCGATTACCCTCGACCGTATACCCTAAACTCTACACCCTAAGCAGCCGAAACTGCTAAAATGGTTGGGAGGGTTGAGCTTCAGGGTTAGAGGATTGTGGGGTGTATTTTCATCGGCAGGCTTTCCAACTGAGATTGAGGGACGAAGTCTCTGAAGGGCTAGGGGTTTAGGGTATAGGGTTTAGGGTATAGGGTTTAGAGTGTAGGGTTTAGTCTGTAGGGTTTCGGGGTGCTTTCGGCCTTGTTGTTTAGGGCTGACGGGAGGGTTTAGGGACCCTCCAGGGCTTTCCACTTGCCCCCGAAGCAAAAGACCTCGAAGAGCCCCGACAAGTAAGGAATCCAACGCCCAAGAGTTCTGTTGAGGGTGGCGTTGTGCGCATTGTAGGCCCGAGGCCGAAACTCTCTGACCCTGAGGCCCCAACCTTCGTCCCGTGGCTTGGGGCGTGCTTGTTGGGACCTTGGGTGTTTTGTTGTTGTCCCTGCTTTTCGGGGCCAGGGGTTCCTTCAAAAAAGACATAAGGTGCCGGCTCCTGCCTAACCCAAGGGGTTTAGGGTTTGGGGTTTGGGGTTGGTTTAGGGTTTAGGGTTTAGGGTTTAGGGTTTAGGGTTTAGGGTTTAGGGTTTAGGGTTTAGGGTTTAGGGCAAGCTTCTGCGTCAGGCAGAGTCAAGCGGCTGCTAACGCGGGGCTGGGATGCTGAGACCCCGCGCAAGAAGCTGAAGAGCGCCAGGATCGCGTGATCATTGCTCGTCGTCGTAGTTTTTTGCACTTTCTTCCGGGTGTTGTTAAGATGCCTGAGGGTCCTGAGCTTCGGGTTAGGGCTTAGGGGTGTTCGAAAGTCTCATTATACGAAGCAGGGCTTCGAGATTTGGATAGGTTAGTTTTCTCGTGGTTGTTCAGCTTCAGTCGAGGGAGGGGAAGGGGGGTTGGTGTAGGTCGTTTGAACTTAGGCGTATCATGCCCGAGAGGTGGTGCTTTGGGTATGTCTCACATTTTCTACCGTGGTGCCCTCTGATGTCGCCCAATGATGGGCGGAAGTGAGGTTTAGGTTCCTGGCGAAGAGGTCTTGGATTGCGGCGCGGAGTTTACGGAGTTTACGACCACTCATGTCGGCAGAGCCTGACACGGCACAGCATTCTAAGACAGAATGCTGGTCTTGTGCCTCCAATTGTACAGACGAAGATGCAAGCTTGCCAATGCCCACTGCCTTAATTCCTGCACGCTCAGAAATAGGCGGCAGATGCCCCGGAAGCCCCGAAACTGCAAAGCCCCAAACCCTAAACCCTGAACCCATGAACCTTCCACGCCGCATCCCTCTTAATAGCCCAGTGGTACCCGTTTTTTGGTTCAAGGTGCCCAACCCCAAAAAGGGTGCCCTTGTCAAAACATGGCTCCTGGGCCACCAAGCCCTGAACCCCAAGCCTTGTAGCAAGCAAAACCCTGAAGACCCACCGCAAGGTCAGGCGGCAAGCCCCAAACCCTAAACCCCAAACCCGAAACCCCAAACCCCAAACCCCAAACCCCAAACCCCAAACCCCAAAACCCAAACCCTAAGCCCTAAACCCTAAACCCTAAACTCGAAACCCTAAACCCTAAACCCTAAACCCTAAACCCTAAACCCTAAACCCTAAACCCTAAACCCTAAACCCTAAACCCAAACCCCAAAACCCCAAACCCTAAAGCTCAGCAAAGCCCTGCAGACCCGCCACAAGGTCAGGCGGCAGCTCTGGTGGTCGTCGCTAAGGCACAGCGAGGCCCATATGGGAGTAGGGTTTAGGGTTTAGGGTTTCGAGGGTTTCGGATTTCGAGATGTTCGAGGGTTCAGGGGCGTTTCGGCGGGCGTTGGGTTTGAGAAGTGGGGGAGGGGGGGGGGGGGGGGGATTTCAGGGTTCAGGTCAAGATTAGCCGACTGAAGGATCTTGGGCTGAGGGTTTAGGGTTCGGGTTCAGGGTTTTGGGTTTAGGGTTTGGGGTACCCTGGAGAGAAGAGCCGAGTTCATGTGAAGGGTGGTTTAGGGTTTAGGGTTTAGGGTTTAGGGTTTAGGGCTTAGGGCTTAGGGCTTAGGGCTTAGGGCTTAGGGTTTAGTCTATACTGACACAAACATCACCCAGTAGAATCGGCAGGCCATTCGCTGCTGCTACGGTTTCAGCTGTAGGGCTTATTATCTAGCATACTATATATATATATATGTATATATATATATATATATATATATATATATTTGTATCATGAGGTATATCTTTTTGCATAAACGAGTACTGTATGTATCATACAGAAGAAAGGTTATTTCAGCGAGCACGACAGGACTGGGTGACAAGTCTGCTGGCTTGCAAGCGGCGAGGCGCGCGAGAGAGCGGGAATTAGGGTGGGCCCTTGTTCCCCACCCTCGGTGTGGGGTTGTTAGATTTTAAACTCAACTCTGCTCTGCCCGGAACTCTTCTCGTCGCCCGGTCTGCTCCTCGCTCATCCCTGGAGTGCCCAACCGCAAGGTGTCCCTAGAGTGCCCAGCTCTAGGGTGTCCCTGGAGTGCCCAACCCCAGAGTCTCCCTGGAGTGCCCAACCCCAGAGTCTCCCTAGAGTGCCCAGCCCCCGAGTGTTGCCAAACCCTAGAGTATCTCTACCAATAGAGGGTGGGGATGTTCGAAGTAAAACAATTCCCTCTTTTTATCGGGTTTTTTGGGTTTAGGGTTTAGGGTTTAGCGTTTAGGGTTTGGGTTTAGGGTTTAGGGTTTAGGGTTTAGGGTTTCGAGCCGAAAAGGACAGGTTCCCATATACACCCCCTTAGACAACGGCCGGTATCCTCTTTGTTCCCAGGTTGTTTCTGGCATAGGCCCAACGCTCTCAGGAACCCAACCCCCAGAAGGCCGCCCCCCCAAACCCTAAACCCTAAACCCTAAATCCCTGAACCTCGGGATGTTCCCTTATACGAACAGTCCTTAATGGGGATTAGAATGGAGGGTACTTGGGATGTCCCCCTTAAACGAACTGCCCTTAATAGGGATTATAATGGGGGGGTACTATAATCCCTATTCAGCACTGTTCGTACAAGGGGGAGCATCCTAACCCTGAGCCCTTAACCCTAAACCCTCTAAATCCTAAACCCTAAACCCTAACCGCTAAACCCTAAACCCTAAAATCCCTGAGCCTTAACTCCAGAGCCTCTGCTGCGCATCCTATCAGGGCGGCCCTTCCGCTGGCCTACGATGCTCAGGCCAAGGTGACAGAGGCCCGGTTTAGGGTTTAGCGATTTAGGGTTTAGGGTTTAGGGTTTAGGGTTTAGGGTTTCGAGGCCCCCCCCCTCTGCACTTTCATGTGCCGTCTTGCAAATAGTACTTGTTGTTGCAACCAGTTCTGGTAAGGCGTCTGCCGCCAGTGTGAATGGGCTGTTTGCGGATTCAGGCCTGCTCTTCTGCCTAGATAAACCCTGAACCCTAAACCCTAAACCCTAAACCCTGAACCCTGAACCCTGAACCCTAAACCCTAAAACCCTAAACCCTAAGCCCTAAGCCCTAAGCCCTAAACCCTAAACCCTAAACCCTAAACCCTAAACCCTAAACCCTAACCCTAAACCCTAAACCCTAAACCCAAGCCCTTGTAGCGGGCTTAGGGATGCTCTCAGAATCTCGGATGTCCCGCGAAGGCCGCCGCCCGGCGCCTGTGCGCCGAGCTCCGGGCGTCCAAGGCGCCGCCGGAGGCGCTACAGACTGGCTTAAGGGAGGTTTAGGGTTTAGGGTTTAGGGTTTGGGGTTTGGGGTTTGGGGTCTGGGGTTTAGGGTTTAGGGTTTAGGGTTTAGGGTTTAGGGTTTAGGGTTTAGGGTTTAGGGTTTAGGTATGGTTTGGGGTTCAGGTTTTAGGGTGGGCTTAGGGTTTGGGGTTAAGGGTTTTGTCGTCTTGTGGTGGCGGCTCTTACAACAGCTCCTCTCATCGGTTGTCGGTTTCGGGTTTGCGGTTTAGGCTGTCGCTTTTAGTTTTCAAGCGGATGAGATGAGAGCATGGGGGTTAAGGTGTGGGTCAAGGATTTTGCCGTGGGCGCTGCTGAAGGCATTGTCGCATAGTTTGGAGGGGCACTGGTAAAGAGATATCAGATATCAGGGCTTTCAGTTTCGGGACGGAAGGTGCTCTGCAGCGCATGTGTCTCAAGGCCTTCTCCGCAACTACTTGGAGGTTCGGGAAACGTTACTCATACCTTTTTCATGGCGAAAACCATTGAGCAGAAATCAGATCGCACGACAGATTCTACCATAAACCATAAACCCTAAACCAACCTGGGACCCGATTCAGTCGCTCTTCGGATGAGGGTTAGAGTGTTAGTATAGGGGCCGTATAGTATGAAAAGGGTTTTGGGATTATTGTAGTATAATTACAATGTTAGTGTAGGGGCCATATAGCATGAAAAGGGTTTTGGGGTTTTTGTAGTATAATTACAAACTTCAAACGGTCCATTTTTCCGAGCCCTCTTGTAGTTCTCGGGAAAGTCGTTTGGGGAGGATCTCAGGATGCCAGGTTTAGGAGCGAAGTGGTTGCCGTCTGGTAGGGTTTGGGGTTTAGGGTTTAGGGTTTAGGGTTTAGGGTTTAGGGTTTGGGGTTTGGGGTTTAGGGTTTAGGGTTTAGGGTTGCACAATGCCATGGATGGAGGCCGTGAGCTTCCAAAAGCTAGCGGAGCTGCCATCCAAGTTCGGTTGGCTGTTGGAAGCTCCTCTTGAGCACCAAGCTTCTCGCGGCACCAAGCACAGAGCAAGACTCCGCTACTTTGCCTACTCGCCAGTTTCGTTAGCTGCCAAGCTGTATGTGATCGTGTATTGGCTGGAAGAGATGACAATGGTCAATCATGCTCAGATACTGTGGGTCTGGCTCCTGTTTGTGCAGCCACTGGCGCTCATCCTCGCGGTTGTGTACCGTGACAAGATCTCAGAATATGTGGTTTATTTGTTAGAAAGTCCGGCTGCCAGCAACAACCTCATGAAGCTGCAGGCTTACGGAGTCGTGGCCTTGTATTTGATTCCGGTGTTGTGCATGGGGTCAGCACAGGCAATTGCAGAAACTTTGCCTTTGTCAGTCCTCGGCTACTTTTCCGTATACTTGCCACTCATGGATGATGCAAACACTGTATCAGCAACGTTCGGCATGCACTTTATCGTGGCCGTCGCCTGCAGTTGTGGTGGCGCCGTAGATTTGACCAATTCCGCGATAGCCTTCGCAGTCTGTTGCAGCGTGACGGAGGGTGTTGTCTTCCGTCTGTTATTAAGCCGCTTTGACACCGGGCTGCGGGAAGATGAGATATGTCAATGTGCACCAAAGAAGCGGCTGCCTTTAGAGATACAGAAGTTGCTGGAAGAAAGTGGCAACTCACGCATGCTTCTAGGCGACTCATTGCGTGCATTTGCTTTCCATGCTGATTTAATCCATCGTGAGGGCCGAGGGGCCTTGAAGCACTTGCTGCTCAGCCAGCGAAAACGAGTCGATCGCCGCGAGGAAGGCCTGGGCCAGTTGATTGCCCTCATCTACTTGCGGGAGACGTGTGGACTTGACCGAAATTCTTTGCTTCACATCTTCCAGTTTTTGCAAGACTGGCAGCCATTGCAGCACCCTGCGGGTGCAGCCGGACTCCTAGGACCCTGCTCAGTCATATCGAGCGGCACATACGCGCACAATGCTTCGGGCTCTGGCTCCATGACAACGATCGAGCGTATCCAGAATGCAACACGGCGACTCCTTCAAAGCTTTTGACTGTTTCAACTGGTGTGGCGAATTGCCACAAAATAGATATGAGAGAGTCTCAGACTCAGAACCACCCCGCGGCGCTGAAAAACTGCAGCCTGCAGCTTGCATGAGGCTTTACGGGGAGGGCTTCACAAAGGTGATATGGGACTTTATCGGAATTGCATGGAGATTCCGTAGGGATGTTTTTGGGCATTTTGGGGATGACTATCTAGGGGGGGAAGGGGAGGGGGTTCTGCGCCCGATGTGCAGGAAGACCCACACGTGTAACAAGTAGGACGCGCTTGTGGTCCGCAACCCTTGAATCTTACCCTCAGGGTTTACGGTCTAGGGTTTAGGGTTTAGGGTTTGGGGTTTAGGGTTTAGGGTTTAGGGTTTAGGCTCAACAGCCTCCCAAAAGGCAAAGAACCAGAGACCTCCAGCTGCAAGTTCACGTGATCGGTTTAGGATCTGGGGTGAGAACCCAATCATCGAGTTCCTGCGAAGAACTACATGGTCACAACCACTGGGTGTGGCTTGGGGGCTGTAAGGTCGGGGGGGGTAGGGCTGAATCCAAAAAAGATTGGGGTTTAGGGGTTTAAGGCTTTAGGGTTCAGAGGTTAAGGGGTTCAGGAGGTTGGGGGAGCAGGTGGGCTGCCCTGTTTTTGGTGCTTCTCAGGGCAAGCCAACTGAAATCCAGAAGGTATGAGTGGGGATGTTCCCCCTTGTACTAACAGTCCTTCATACGGATTATAGTACCCCCTCCCATTAGAATCCCCATTAAGGACTCTTAGTTTCAGGGGGAACATCCCTGTGAAATCATGAAGGATGTGGTGCTGCTAGGACCTCTATTTAAAGTTGAGGGGTGAAGGCCGGTCACGGCCTGCCATCGCCTTGAAGCGATTCCGGCATGTTTTTTTGGGACAATCTGGGGTTTAGGGTTTAGGGTTAGGGTTTAGGGTTTAGGGTTTAGGGTTTAGGGTTCAGGGTTCAGGGTTTAGGGTTTAGGGTTATTCCGCATGAACAATCAGTAAACTCGCCGGCCGCCCCCGCGCCTCTTGGAGGTGAAGCCGCCGCCCTTCGGTTTGACCAAGGCTGCACCGGTGCAAGGGAGGAGGTTTAGGGTTTAGGGTTTAGGGTTTAGGGCTTAGGGCTTAGGGCTTAGGGTTTAGGGTGGTTCAGGGGTCTGCGCTCCGAGCACCTGAAATGCAGCCGGAAGTAGGGTTGAGGGTTGAGGGTTTAGGGTTTAGGGTTTAATCCTAACCCTAGACCCATCTTGCAGGCGTTGGATCACTGCGTGCCCGGGATTTCCGGTCCGGGCACTTGCCCCGCAGAGCAGCGTGGATGCAGCGAAACCCTACCAAGTCCAAAGAACTCTATGCAGCCTACATTACCCCCAGGCAACCCTAAACCCTAAGCCCTCAAACTCTAGAAACTCTATAGCAACTATCAACCCCGCAAATCCTACATGACCTAGGCAATCCCTGTGCCCTAAGCCCTAAACTCTAAGAATTCCCCGACATGAACCTTATACACACTACAAGACCCCAAGCTTGACTTTGAAGATGGTTCTTGATCCCGTGGACCAAGGCAAACCCAAACCCGGTGGTAACATTTCTTGGGTTAGAGGCACACTAAACTTTCACTAAACCCTAAAATCCCTGAACTCTAGACGTTAAGGGTCTAGTCTTGTTGGGCTTTTCTTGAACCTCTATCCCGAAAACGCCCGACAAAGTGATCACTGTTCTTGTGACGAAGGTCCCCTGAGAAGCTGATGGAGGGTTTTGGGGTTTCGGGGTTTAGGGTTTAGGTCTTAGGTTATTTCAGGCAATGGCCTCTTTATGAAGGGGTGACCGTCAAAATGGCCCGTGACAGTAGCAGATTTGGGAAGAGATTTGGGAAGAGATTCCATAGACTAACAGATTTGGGAAGAGATTTGGGAAGAGATTCCGTAAATATGCTGTTTTTGAGTGTGGACATTGAAGAGGGCTTGCCTCTTTAGTTACAGGGCTTGGGGCAAAACCCAGTTGTGGCGGGTGGCCTCTTTCAGTTTTGGCCCCGGGCCCCTTTTGTTCAAATACATGTTTTGGACATTCAAGGGGGGGGGGGGGGGGGGGGGGGGGTGGCCTCTTTAGCTACATGACTTTGGGCGAAAGCCCAGTTGTGGCGGGTGGCCTCTTTCAGCTTTGGCCCCTTTTGCTCGAATATGTGTTTTGGACATTGAGGCCGGGCGACACGTTTCCTAAAGTAGTTAGTGTCGTTTTAGTGACCAAAGCCGGGCGACACATTTCCTACAGTAGTTAGTCGTTTTAGTGACCAAACTAGTTAGTCGTTTCTGTGGCCAAAACCGGGCGACACATTTCCTCAAGTAGTTAGTCGTTTTCGTGACCAAGGCCCTTTTGCCTCCCAGGCCCCCAGATATGTATCTGACAGTCAAAGAGGCCATTGCCTGAAATAAGGTTTAGGGTTTAGGGTTTAGGGTTTAGGGTTTAGGGTTTAGGGTTTAGGGTTTAGGGTTTAGGGTTTAGGGTTTAGGGTTTAGGGTTTAGGGTTTAGGCAGGATTCAGATTTTTAGGGTTTAGGGTTTAGGGTTGGGGGGTTTGGGGGTTTAGGGTTTCAAGTTTCAAGGGGTGGCACCCGGAGAGAACTCCCCCGGATCGTTCCCAGCCCTGAACCCTAAACCCTAAACCCTTAGGCCCTTCACCGGCGCACAGCGGCTGGTCGGCACGCAGGCACGCAGTTAGCCCAAACCCCAAACCCTAAACCCCAAACCCTAAACCCTAAACCCTAAACCCTGAACCCTAAACCCTAAACCCTAAACCCTAAACCCTAGACTCCTGGCCAGGAGTCGAAGCGCCTTTCCGGGCAGGTGGCTGTGGTGACAGGTGCCTCGCGAGGTATCGGAAAAGGCCGGGACTTTCGGGGTGAGGGTTGAGGATTCAGGGTTTAGGGTTTAGGGTGTTAGATAGGTGTAGTGTCGGTTTAGGAGGTTTAAGAGGTTTAGGAGGTTTAGGAGGTTTAGGAGGTTTAGGGTTTGGGGATTTTGTGCAGCTAGATACCTTCTGAGCCCTATCCAACACGAACGGATATCCCTGTCATTCCTAGTTCTAGAGCTTTGACATGGACCCCACTAGGGTTTAGGGTTTCGGGTTTCGGGTTTAGGGTTTAGGGTGTCAGGTTTGGGGTTTAGGGTTGAGGGTTTAGGGTTTAGGGTTGGGGCTAAGGTTTTTAGTTTCTTGCCGCCTCAGGGGTTTAGCCAAGATTTTTCCGGGTTTCTTACATTGCGGCTGATGCGTTTCAAGCTTCTCGAAACCCTAAACCCTAAACCCTAAACCCTAAACCCTAAAAATCTGAATCCTGCCTAAACCCTAAACCCTAAACCCTAAACCCTAAACCCTAAACCCTAAACCCTAAACCCTAAACCCTAAACCCTAAACCCTAAACCCTAAACCCTAACCCGAAACTCCAAACCCTGGACTATCCCAGCAAGGCCAGATCTAGGGTGGACAGACGCGCCGGCGGGAAGTTGCAAGCTGTTTGCTGTAAACTCCGTCATCCAAAATAGGTTGCAGCCGCAGGACAAGCGCAAACCTAGCACCACCCGATGTGCACAGTTGCAGCATTCGAACCCGAAACCCTAAACCCGAAACCCGAAACCCTAAACCCTAAACCCTAAACCCTAAACCCTAACAGGCCCAGAAGAGGGCCTGATCTAACTGATGGGTTAGTTATGTGGGTCTCTATCAACCTGCACCCTGAATCCTGCGTCCGTAAGCCCCCTAAACCCCCTGAACCCCCTAAACACCCCAGGCCCCCATGAAACCCTCCTTGACCCCCAAACCCTAAACCCCCAAACCCCCTAAATCCCTTAATCCCTACCCTTAACCCTAAACCCTAAACTCTGCAGGTATTGCGCAGAGCTTGGCCGAGGTGGGGGAGCCAGCAGGAAGAACTGTAGGGTTTAGGGGGGTTTAGGGTTTGGGGGGTGTAGGGGCGTTTCCCAAAGCAGGGGCACCCCTTACATAAACCAACACTGGTTTTGCAAGGAGGGTTGCTTCGGGTACTTGGAGGTTCATGGTACTTATTTACCAATTATGACTGTACTTGTATCGGTACTTATAACCATATTAGGGCACTTGAGGGGCTTATAAGTGGGCCATAAGTACAGTTATGATTGGATGACTATTAAACCCTAAACCCTAAACCCTAAACCCTAAACCCTAAACCCTAAACAGTTATTTGTTGGTGAACAAGTATCATGAACCTCCAAGTATCTTCTTTGCCTTGGGGGTCTGGGGAGGCATACTGTCTTCTAGGAGGTCATGGCCGTCCTTCGGAGGGCATGGGACTGACAGTCGTGCTTTTTGTGAGCCCTAAACCCTAAACCCTAAACCCTAGACCCTAGACCCTAGACCCTAAACCCTAAACCCTAGACCCTAGACCCTAGACCCTAGAAACCCTAAACCCTAGAAACCCTAAGCACCAAGCCGGTTAAGCCACAAGACGCTGTAACGCTGAGCCTGTTTCCCTTTACCCCTTGGCAAGGCTGGTCAAACCGCACTGGACTGGTTCAGGGTTTAGGGTTTAGGGTTTAGGGTTTAGGGTTTAGGGTTTAGGGTTTAGGGTTTAGGGTTCGGGGTTTAGGGTTTAGGGTTTAGGGGTTTAGGGTTTAGGGTTTAGGGTTCAGGGTTTAGGGCTCTTTGGGGATCTGGGGCTTGGGAGCAGGGGGGGTTTGATTTGTACCATCACTGCCCTAAACCCGAAACCCTAAACCCTAAACCCCCAAACCCCTAAACATGAAATCTTATCAACCTTGAACCTCGAAATCCTGGAACACCCTACACCCTAAACCCTAAACCCTAAACCCTAAACCCTAAACCCTAAACCCTAAACCCTAAACCCTAAACCCTAAACCCTGAACCATATCCTTGGAGGCCGGGGCCATCGTCTACGTGACCGGAAGGTCGGCACCCGGAAAGGAGAAAGCCTGTGTTGTAGGTCTTCTGTTCCCTAAACCCTAAACCCTAAAC